CAGCACTTTGATATGGGCTGCCAGTGGTAGAGGGGGTGGCTTCCCCACTACACCACAGCATTGGCCCCAGAATATTGATTGTGAACCATATTTTTGTGTATGTTTTCAAAATTTTGCCTGTATGTACTCCATGTTTCTGACTGTAGCATACTCACCGAATATAGGTGAGCAAAGCAGTAAGACTGGGTCTTTATATTTATTTTTCTAAAGATGAATTATCCTTTGCCTGTCTAGAGAGGCGTTCTGTGGTAGGGAACTGACGCTGGAAGTCGGAGTGAAAGGCAGAAGTTGGTTTCCAGGAACTGCCCCTTGTAAGTGACTCGTTCCGTTCCAAATCTGAGTTTCTTCATTCTGTGCATTGAGGTGATGGTAGTCGAATTCACATGGCAGAGTTGGGATACGCTGATATAAATGATAATGCTTGATTAAGTTCTGTTGCGGTGTTGCTTCTCGTTGGTTCTTTGCTCAGAGCTCTTGTTTATCTGGGCGAAGCATCAAGAATCTTGGAGCATCACAGAATCTTAGAGCAGTGCTGTGGTCACGTTCGATTCCTGGCCGAAACCAGAGTTCTGTTAGCGAGGAAGAGGGGATCCAGTAGTCAGCTGTTACTACTACAGTGAAACCTGACAGGCTGTGAGGAAGAGTGCAGACCGGTGCCTCCTCACACGGGGCCCAGGACAGACAGGAGGCAGGGTACAGATCTGCAGCCAGACCAGATGTATTCAGGGAAAGCAAATCTGCAGAGGTGGGTGACCCACTGCTGGCATGCGCAGAGTGGACACAGCCGTTCTCACATTCCGTCTCGCACCCTCTTGTCTTTACTGCCAACCCCGCATTCTTCCCCAGGTTTGGAAAGACCTGTGTGGAGGACTTCGCCTCTGCCTGCCGCCCCCTGCCCCCAGCCCCTGGGGGCTGGGCCCTGTGCCGCGTGTTCAGTCTGTGTGCACGGCACAGTGGGTCACCCACCTCTGGGCTCTGTGCCGCGTGTTCAGTCTGTGCACGGTGCAGTTGGTCACCCACCTCTGGGCCCTGTGCCGCGTGTTCAGTCTGTGTGCACGGCACAGTGGGTCACCCACCTCTGGGCTCTGTGCGGTGTGTTCAGTGTGTGTGCACGGCACAGTGGGTCACCCACCTCTGGGCCCTGTGCCGCGTGTTCAGTGTGTGTGCATGGTGCAGTGGGTCACCCACCTCTGGGCCCTGTGCCGCGTGTTCAGTCTGTGCACGGCGCAGTGGGTCACCCACCTCTGGAGCCCTCTGCCTGTGTTCTTCCGCTGTGTCCAGGCTGGCAGTCGGCCGACCTCTGCGAGTTTACCTCTCTGAATGCAGTCGGTGTGGCTGTGAGTTTGTGTTCCTGTCTCCTCTCTGTTTTGCGCCCTGATTCCTTACACTGGACGCCCTGTGTGAGGAGGCACCCGTCTGCACGCGTTTCCTTACACCAGCTGCTTATGAAGGTAAGACAGACTTATTTTGGCTCATGATTTTGGAGGTTCACTGACCAAGATTGGGCAGGCCCCATTGGTGTGTGTGTGTGTGTGTGTGTGTGTGATCTTCAGTGATGGTGTTCTTGCTGGCAGAACCCTGAGTGTGCATAGAACATCACCTGACTGTCTTACGTGGGTTTCCTAGAAGCCATGAGGATTTAATCATTAGGATTGCTCCACCCTAGGAAACCAACCCAATTAGTCAACTGCCAAAGGCACCACCTTCAAAAACCCCAGCTGAATTATGTTTCTACTCTTTCAGTTCTGTGAACGAAAGACCTTGGGGACTAGAGTTTTATCACACAGGCCTTTGGTGTGATAAGTAGCAGCAATGAGGTAGGAAGCCCGTGTTTTCTATCACACTGCTGTTATGTATGGTCACCAGGAAAAAGTGTGTGGGGGGGGATTATTTAGAAATTAAAATGAACCCTACCACTGAAAGGCCAATATGAATATTTTGATGTATAGCCTGCCCTGCTGTACGTCTGTGGGTGGCACCTTCCCAGGCATGTTAGCAGGGAGCTGGATTGAAACAGAGTAGCCAGGACTTGAACAGGTGCTCAGACACAGAATGGGAAAGCCACATGCCTCCCCTAGACTTTCTCATCAAGTTCAAAATAACTTTGGTAAGTGATGACATTTACCATTTAGTCCGTCCTTGAAGAACTGAAAGTCCTAGGAGTATACAGGTCAGTATGGGCTTTTGTCTATGATTTATTTATTTATTTTAGATTTTATTTATTTGAGAGGTAGAGTTACAGACAGTGAGAGGGAGAGACAGAGAGAAAGGTTTTCCATGCGATGGTTCACTCCCCAAATGGCCCCAACGGCTGAAGCTGGGCTGATCTGAAGCCAGGAGCCGGGAGCTTCTTCCGGGTCTCCCACGCGGGTGCAGGAGTCCAAGGACTTGAGCCATCTTCCACTGCTTTCCCAGGCCACAGCAGAGAGCGGGATCGGAAGAGCAGACCCCAGACTAGAACCAGTGCCCACAGGGGATGTCTGTGCCTCAGGCAGAGGCTTAGCCCACTGTGCCACAGTGTGGGGCCCCTTATGTCCACTATTAACAGAAGAAAAATGTGTGCCCTTTCAAGGCAGTTTCAAGATCAGGAAGCAAAAAGGAGTCAGTTGAATTAAATCAGTGCCAGGTGGGTGCCTGCTGGTTTGCCTCAAAGCCTTGGGGAGTCGCCCTTGAGAGAGAGAGGCAGGGGCAGGAGCAGGACTCTGGTGAGGCCTCCCCGGGGTACTTCTGCGGGAGCTGTGGAGAGCTCAGACCCTGCCGGTCCTGAGCAGACGCCTCGAGCAGCCCTGAGCGCTGTTGCCGTGAATTTTGCTCTTGCGTGTCCCTTTTACTTCCACTGGATCACTAATGCATCCTGGTAGCCAGTGCTTTGGCCGTGCTTTGGTCTCAGGATTGTACCGATAAAGCCACTTTCATGTCCTCTTACGACTCTCAGGAAGGATATTTCAGGCTCTCTCTCTTTTTTTTTTTTTTTAATTTAAGATTTATTTATTTGAAAGGTGGAGTTACAGAGAGAGAGAGAGAGGGAAAGACAGATCTTCCATCCTCTGGTTCACTCCACCAAATGGCTGCAGTGGCCGGGCCTGGGCCAGACTGAAGCCAGGAGCTTCTTCCAGGTCTCCCCTGTAGGTACAGGGGCCCAGGTACTTGGGATGTCTCCCACTTTTCCCCAGCTGCACCCACAGGAGCTGGATCGGAAGTGGAACAGCTGGGACTCGAATGGGTGCCCGTAGGGGATACCGGCGCTGCAGACGGCGGCTTAGCCCGCTGTGCCACAACGCCGGCCCTGCTTCAGGCTCTGATCCCCGTTGTTTAAAATTTCCATGGAAAGCCCTGCTCTTGTCTGCCCCTGGTCTGGATGCAGCAGTTTCGGCTCCCACAGAGCAGGCCTGCTCCCTTTTAATTTTCAGTCCTGAGTGTGTCAGTTGGGCCCGTGAGATGCCTGTGGTGTTCGCTGTCGCTCCTGCTGTTTTCACAGGTCATCTTCCATCAGAGTGTGAACGAGACTCGTGCTTCTCCCTGTGGGTTCACATGGATGATCTGCTGCGGCAGGCCTGATGGTCACGCATCGATCCCTTCCTAAAACGTGTCATCCGTGTTGGGGCGTTTCCCATAGACCTGTTGTGAAGCACCCACCGTTTCACCATTCTTCCACCCACACTTCGCCGTAAATCTGATGTTTGTTCTGGCAAAATGCATGTTGCTCTGATGGAGTTTTGCAAACTCCTGTTAATCTTAGCGCCTCAGACTAGATCCTTCTCACACATGTTACGGCAAGCAGCAAGGGCTTCCTGGTACCAAAAATTTTGAAATCCATGCATGTGTTTTTTTCATAGTACATATTTCTGTGAACCCTCTGAAGATCTCTAGTCTCTCTGTGTGTGTACAGATACACTGTTGCTACAGACTTTTTGAAAATTTATTTGCATAGTTATGTAACATTCTAAGGAATGTGTTATAATCCATTTAACATGTGCTTTATTTTTGCAGTTAGGTAATCCTTTTTTTATTTTTAACTTTTTATTAGTGTGGTTTTTTTTTTTTTTTTTTTACTATTTGTGCAGTAGAGAGACACGGTGCTGTCCCGTTCACTGGTTTCCTCCTCGGCTGTCTGAAGAGCCAGGGCTGGGCGAGGCTGAAGCTGAGAGGCAGAAACTCAATCCAGGTCTCCCACGTGGCGCCAGAGACCCAACCGCTTGAGCCGTCTCTGCCGCCTCCCGGGATTTGCCTTAGCAGGAAGCTGGTATTGGGGCCCGTGGCCGGGTCTCGAAGTCAGACACTCCACTCTGGGGACAGATGCCCACTCCAAAGTAGTCCTTTTTAAAAGTCACCCATCTCAAGGCCGCAGCTCACTAGGCAAATCCTCCGCCTTGTGGCGCCGGCACACCGGGTTCTAGTCCTGGTCGGGGCGCCGGATTCTGTCCCGGTTGCCCCTCTTCCAGGCCAGCTCTCTGCTGTGGCCAGGGAGTGCAGTGGAGGATGGCCCAGGTCCTTGGGAGACCAGGATAAGTACCTGGCTCCTGCCATCGGATCAACGCCGTGCGCCGGCCGCAACGCGCCGGCTCTGGCGGCCATTGGAGGGTGAACCAACGGCAAAGGAAGACCTTTCTCTCTGTTTCTCTCTCTCTCTGTCCATTCTGCCTGTAAAAAAAAAAAAAAAAAAAAAAAAAAAGTCCCCCATCTCGTGATGCGCTGCCGTCTGTGAGCTTCTGGTAGGCACCCAGGACCCTGCCTGCCGTCTGTGACGCTGTCTGCCTTCCCGAGCTCCACGGGCTCATTCTCAGACACGAGCAGCCTTAACTCTCAGGGAGAAGTCCTGGGGCTGTGCAAGACTTAGGATGGCTTCCCCCAGGAGCGACATCCTGCTGACACCCAAAGGATGGGCAGCGTCTAGCCAGGCAAGAGGCCGGGAGAAGAACGTGGCTGACCGAGGTACAGAGGGGGTGGAGCACACTCCCCCCGAGGTGGGGGACGGCCACGCGGGTCCGCTTTTCTCTGTGGATGCACAGTAAGTGCTGAGCAGGCCCCACACTGATCCGCCTCTCCTGTGCCCTCCACCTCCGTCCCCTGCCCCACGTCCCTGTCACATAGACGGTGGAGACCTGCAGGGCACCCGGATCCGGCGTGGGTAAATGCGGACGGCCAGCCTGGTAGAGCCGGCGGCTTCCTTCTCACAGCCTCTGCAGCCCCGGGAGTGGTGTTACCATTTCCCTCTGCAGAGGGGAAATGGAGGCATTAGTAACTTCCGCAAGGTCACGGGGCTGAGCTAAAGGACACACTCAGCAAGCGGACGGGTGGTGCTCCCACGGTCTCACCTACAGCGCGCGGCGGCACCCGCTCGCCCTCAGCCCCGTCCCCCGCCCCTCCCGGGGGTGTGCTTCTGTCCGTGTGCTCCCTCTTGTTGGCCACTGTCTTGCCTCATGGGGAACGTGGCCCCCAGAGCCAGACTGAGGAGCCGACGCGTGGGCCTGGTCTGGGTAGACAGGGCCGCCTGCGGTCTCTGTGTGTTGAGGGCTGCAGGCCACTGGACAAGACGGGGAGGGAGGGGAGGCCGAGAGCATTCCCAGAAACACCTGCCCAGGCTGCTTAGACACTCTGTACCCTCCAGCAGCCTGTTATGAAAACCGTTCAAGAAGTTGCCGAGTGAGCACTCTTCACGGGAACTCCGCCCCTCTCAGTGTGGTTCGACCCTGCTTGGTGCAGACCTGGCTGTCCCCCAGGCTGGGTGGGTTTTTTTTTTTTTTTTGGGTGGAGGGGATGTATTTCAGAGTACACATCCCCCTGACTACCTCACCGTGCTTAGAACTGACGAGGGTTCAAAATACTTACAGACTTCTCTTCTGATTGTAAGTTTTACTGCAGTTCTTAAAGAGTACCGATGTCCCTTGGAGCCTGTGTCGCATCGGTTCCCAGAGACCCTGCCCGTCACCCTGTGGACACCAAAACTCAGGGATTCTCAAGTCTTTGGTATAAAATGCCATAGACTTTGCCTTTAACCTAAAACTCCTCCCGTATACTTAAAGTGATCTCTAGATGGCTTACCTAGTACAATGTCGGTGCTATGTGCTTAGTTGTTGTACTGTTGTTTAGGGAATACTGACAAGAAGAGGAGCCTGTGTGTGTCTAGTACAGATGTATTTTGTTCCAAATACTTCCTTTTTTCGAATGATGTATTTATTCGAAAGGTAGAGTGACAGAGAGGAAGAAACAGAGAGAGAGATCTTCATCCACTGCTTCGCTCCCTAAATGGCTGCAATGGCCAGGGTTAGGAGCCAGGGGCTCCATCCTGGTTTCCCACGTGGGTGCAAAGGCCCAAGCACCCACGCACTCAGACCATCTTCTGCTGCTTTCCCAGGTGCATTAACAGGGAGCTGAAGTGGAGCAGCCGGGACTCGAACTGGCGCCCATATGGGATGCCAGTGCAGCCAGCAGCTTTACTTGCTATGCCACAACGTTGGCCCCTTTCAGATATTCTCAAGCCACAATGGCATGGATGCAGAACCAGCGGGAATGGAGACCCAGCTGTGCCCTTGCTCAGTGTTGGCAGATGCGAATGCCTGTGCACCCCCAACCGGCCTGGGCACAATAGATCGTTACCATCATCCCGGAAAATTCCCTCATGCCCCCTCCCGCTCAGTCCTCCCCCTGCTCCCGGGCGACCAGTGTTCTCTTCACAGCGGGCTGCTTTGGACTGTTCTAGAACTTTAAATACGTGGAGCTGCACAGCACGTGTTGTTTGTGGACAGTTTCTCTCACTGAGCATCATGTGATCGCGTTTCATCACGCCGTGTTCTGCATCGCTAGCTCAGTTCCTGTCTGTTGCCGAGTGAGGGTTCTGTTGTGTGAATGGAGCGTGGGCTGTTGTGAATGAAGCTGCAGTGGGCACTGTGTAGTTTTTTGTGCATTTCCGGTTTTCTCAGGATTGGAACTGCTGGGTCACAACCAGCTGTGTGCTCAGTTTTTTTTTTTTTTTTTTTTTTTTGGACAGGCAGAGTGGACAGAGAGAGAGACAGAGAGAAAGGTCTTCCTTTGCTGTTGGTTCACCCTCCAATGGCCGCCGCCGGCTGGCGCGCTGCGGCCGGCACACTGCGCTGATCCCATGGCAGGAGCCGGGTGCTTCTCCTGGTCTCCCATGGGGTGCAGGGGCCAAGCACTTGGGCCATCCTCCACTGCACTCCCTGGCCACAGCAGAGAGCTGGCCTGGAAGGGGGGCAACTGGGAAAGAATCCGGCACCGTGTGCTCAGTTTTATACAAAGCCACCACACCCTTTCCCACCGTGGTTGCACTATTTTACTCTCCTGCCACCAGTGTGTAAGAATTCCATTGGCAGCCGGCGCTGCAGCTCACTAGGCTAATCCCCCACCTTACGGCGCTGGCACACCGGGTTCTAGTCCCGGTCGGGGCGCCGGATTCTGTCCCGGTTGCCCCTCTTCCAGGCCAGCTCTCTGCTGTGGCCAGGGAGTGCAGTGGAGGATGGCCCAAGTGCTTGGGCCCTGCACCCCATGGGAGACCAGGAGAAGCACCTGGCTCCTGGCTTCGGATCAGCGCAGTGCGCCGGCTGCAGTGGCCATTGGAGGGTGAACCAACGGCAAAGGAAGACCTTTCTCTCTGTCTCTCTCACTGTCCACTCTGCCTGTCAAAATAAATAAATAAATAAATAAATAAATAAATAAATAAATAAATAAAAAAGAAAGAATTCCAGTGGCTTCCAGTTTTGTCTGCTGGGTCTACCCATAGTACATTAGGAAATGTTTTTCTTGTGTGTTCTACCATCTGGGGAAGGAAGGTCATGTTAAGTTTCATTTTTGGGAATCCCGAGTGCACAGACATTTAGGTTTATTAACCTGAAGTTGCCAGCGGCCTGCAGCCACCTTCTACATGAGAAAGTTCTTGGTTTGGAGAATCCTGGCCATGCCCTTAAATCGAAAAGCCCAGGCGTATGTGAAGACAGGCTCCAAGTGGTGAATTCACACAGAGACGTCTTGTAAAGAGCCCATGCCTCGTCCGAGACAGTCACACTCTGGCCTGTGCTGTCCTGAGGGTGGCACTGAGGGTGCCGCGTTCCGTGGCAGTCTGTTGCAGCCCTCTCTCCTTGCATTCCCTGACCTCAGCTCTTGTCCCTGGTCGGGCTTTAAGCCCTGGTGTCTGGGTGGCCAGGTTGGCAGTGCCCTGCGAGGGCATGACGTGGGGCCTCTGCCTTTATCCAGTGCCTGCTGCTTTTCCATCCCGGAGCTCTGTCCTTTCCACGGAGCGCAGCCGCGCCTCAGAATACGTTTGTATTCCGGTCTCCAGCGTATAGGTGCTGTGTGGCAGGGAGGTTTAGAGGGCTTCCTAGTGGCCCCTGTTGGCAGAAATGAAAAGCTGGGGGCATAAACACCCCCGTCTCCCGGATTCTTAGAACTAGAAGCCGCCCCTCTCGGAGGCTGATAATGCACAGGCCCCCGCGCTGGCGGGAGGTGGGCCGGACTTCTGAGTAACGATGTTTTCGCCCTGAGACGCCCTCTCTGTTTTCCTTACAGGACACAACCTGGGAACGGGGGGACGTGGTGGATCTGGGGGCGTTCTGAGCCCGCACACAGCAAGCAGACATGTCTTTGGATGACATTAAAATGAAGTCCAGTGACTTCCTGGAGAAGGCGGATCTGGACAGCGGCGGCTTCGGGGAGGTGTCTCTGTGCTTCCACAGACTCCATGGCTTAGTGATCCTGAAGAAGGTGTACACAGGGCCCAAGCGTGCCGAGTGAGTTGGGAGCAGGGGTGGGTGGGACACGGCTGCGCCCATGAGTGGCCAGCTCTCGGGACGAGGCAGACCCTGGCGGGAGTCTCGGGTCGTGGACCTGCGTCAAGGAATGAGAACTCTTAGGTTGTTGTCGTCACTGGTGAGGACTCGGGCTGCTCAGACAGAAGCTCACAGCCGATAAATAATGGACGATCCGGGAGGTGATGAGAAATGGGAGGAATTCCTGAAGCTACTCACTTGCTTCACCTTTTTGGTGCAAACCAGCCCTGGGTATGAAAACAGACGGTTCATTCATGAGAGGTTCTGGTAGCCTTCTCTTTCAAGTCATCAGGGGAGAGTTTTCCCTCCCATTCTCCTTGTTACAATGGGTATGGCAGAGGCCATGTTTCTTTTTATTATTTATTTATTTATTTATTTATTTATTTATTTTGACAGGCAGAGTGGACAGTGAGAGAGAGAGACAGAGAGAAAGGTCTTCCTTTGCCGTTGGTTCATCCTCCAATGGCCGCCGCAGCCGGCGCGCTGCGGCCAGCGCACCGCACTGATCCGATGGCAGGAGCCAGGTACTTATCCTGGTCTCCCATGGGGTGCAGGGCCCAAGCACCTGGGCCATCCTCCACTGCACTCCCTGGCCACAGCAGAGAGCTGGCTTGGAGAGGGGCAACCGGGACAGAATCCGGCGCCCCGACCAGGACTAGAACCCGGTGTGCCAGTGCCACAAGGCGGAGGATCTTTTTATTTTTTTAAGATTTATTTATTTATTTGAAAGGCAGAGCTACACAGAGAGAGAAGGAGAGGCAGAGAGAGAGAGGGAGGTCTTCCATCTGCTGGTTCACTCCCCAGTTGGCTGCAACGGCCAGAGCTGCGCTGATCCGAAGCCAGGAGCCAGGAGCTTCTTCCAGGTCTCTCACGGGCGCAGGAGCTCAAGCACTTGGGCTCTTCCACTGCTTTCCCAGGCCACAGCAGACAGCTGGATCGGAAGTGGAGCAGCCGGGACTCGAACTGGCACCCATGTGGGATGCCAGCACTGCAAGCGGTGGCTTACCCGCTACGCCACAGCACCAAGGCCATGTTTCTTACTGCTCTTTCTTGTGCATTCTTTTCTTCATGCACCAGCACTGTTGCTTGTGCACCTGTCATTCCGTCACATATCCTGAGCACCCACTGCCAGTCCCTGTTAAGGCGCAATATAAAGGTGCCTCCTAGTGTGTTCTGAGCCGGGAGCCATCAGTACAGACCCAAGCGTGGCAGAAGTGCGGGAGATGGGAAGCGTTGGAGGCGCGCGCCGAGCTCCTTGGGCCTTGCCCTCCTGAGCCTGGCGCCTTCCCTGCCCGCAGGTACAGGGAGATGGGAAGCGTTGGAGGCGCGCGCCGAGCTCCTTGGGCCTTGCCCTCCTGAGCCTGGCGCCTTCCCTGCCCGCAGGTACAGGGAGATGGGAAGCGTTGGAGGCGCGCGCCGAGCTCCTTGGGCCTTGCCCTCCTGAGCCTGGCGCCTTCCCTGCCCGCAGGTACAGGGAGATGGGAAGCGTTGGAGGCGCGCGCCGAGCTCCTTGGGCCTTGCCCTCCTGAGCCTGGCGCCTTCCCTGCCCGCAGGTACAACGAGTCTCTGCTCGAGGAGGGGAGGATGATGCACAGGCTGAAGCACAGCCGGGTGGTGGAGCTCCTGGGCGTCGTCATGGAAGAGGGGAACTACTGCCTGGTGATGGAGTACATGGAGAAGGGCAGCCTGATGCACGTGCTCAAAGCCGAGGTACAGGACACGGGCGCCAGCCCTCCAGCGCGGGGCTGCCGTGTGGCCGTTTGCTTACAGCGCACTGCTATAACATAATCCCTTCGTGAGTTGCTTCATAGTTTGGATTTGTTTAAAAAAGATGCATTTATTTTATTTGAAAGACAGAGTGACAGAGAGAGGGAGAACCAGAGAAGGAGCTCTTGCATCCCCTGGTTCCCTCCCCTAAATGGCCACAGCGGCCAGGGCCGGGCAGGCTGAAGCCAGGAACCAGGAACTCCATCCGGGTCTCCCTCGTGGGTGGCAGGGGCCCAAGCACTCGGGCCATCTGCTGCTGCCTTCCCAGGCACATTGGCAGGGAGCTGGGTCAGAAGCCGAGTAGTTGGGACTTGACCCATGCTCTGACACAGGATGCCAGCCTGGGCTTAACCCACTGCAGCAGAGTGCTGGCCCTGTTTGGATTTTTTGAAGTCAGTCCCTTGTTAGATTTTCTTTGCCTGTCCCAGCCCAGGGAGTCGTTTCTCCATCCTCTCAGCCTCTGACAGCCGCCGTGTCACTCACTTGGAAGGTCCTCTGGGCCTTTTTACCGTACCTGTCAGCCTGTGTCTGATCGAGTTCCCAGGTGGGCTCTGTCCTAATGAAGCCTGTCATCATGTGGGTACATGCTTGATACATAGCAGCTAAAGCCGGCTTGTGAAAGCATGCACGCCATGAAGAGGGTGACAGATGTTGATTGATTGATTAAGCATGTGTGCTGTATGAGACTGCAAGAGAAGATGGGAGATTGAAGATTACCTTTTGAAACAATTCAAGAAACTTTTATAGAACATTAGCAACAATAACACAGTATAATATTTAAAACAGGGAAATAAAAAGGGTTTACCTAAACCAAATAGTTTTTCAAAAAAAATTTGTAAAGATTTATTTATTTATTTGTCAGAGTTACACACAGAGAGAGAGAGAGGTCTTTCATCCACTGGTTCACTCCCCAGTTGGCTGCAGTGGCTGGAGCTGGGCTGATTCAAAGCCAGGAGCTTTTTCTGGGTCTCGCACGTGGGTGCAGGGGCCCAAGCACTTGGGCATCTTCCACTGCTTTCCCAGGCCACAGCAGAGAGCTGGATCGGAAGAGGAGCAGCTGGGATATCAGCTCGTACCATGTGGGATGCTGGCTCCACAGGCAGAGGCTTCACCTACTGTACCACAGCGCTGGCCCCGGACCCCCCCCCCCATTTTTTTAAAGATTTATTTATTATTTGAAAGGCAGAGTTCCAGAGAGGCAGAGAGAGGGAGAGAGAGAGAGAGAGAGAGAGATATCTTCCATCCACTGGTTCACTCCCCAAATGGCCACAATGGCCAGAGCTGGATCGAGCCAAAGCCAGGAGCTTGGAGCTTCCTCCGGGTCTTCCACATATGGGTGCAGGGGCCCAAGCACTTGGGCCATCTTCCACTGCTTTCCCAGGCACATTAGCAGGGAGCTGGATTGGAAGTGAAGCAGCCGGGACTTGAACTGGCGCCCATATGGGATGCCAGCACTGCAGCTGGAGGCTTTACCTGCTACGCCACAGCACAGGCCCTGACCCCAAATTTTTTATGCACGGAAATAAACATATCTTTTAATTCTATTTTCCATGAACTTTCTTATTTAGTTATTTATATTTTATTTATTTGAAAGGCAGGGAGACAGAGAAGGCTCCTATCCACTGGTTCATCCCCCAGTGCCCACACCAGCAAGTAGGGCCAGCTTGATGCCTGGCCCAATCCAGGCCTCCTGTGTGGGTGGCAGGGACCCAGCTACTTCAGCTGTCAGCTGCTGCCTCCCAGGGTGTGCATTAGCAGGAATCTGGAGTCAGAGGTGGAGCTGGGACTTGAGCCCAGGCATCTGATGGGGATGCGGCCGTTCCAAGTCGCATTTTGACTCTTGTTCCAAACACCTGCCACTCCATGAGGTTCTGAAGTGTCCAGTAGTCTGCAGTGGGAGCGTCCTAGCCTTGCACAGACGAGAAAGGCTTGCAGTGTGAGGACACGTAGAGACTTTCTTTAATAGTATATTTTTTAAAAAAGATACATATTTTTTAAAATTTTGAGGGGCAGAAAGAGATGGATGGATAGAGCTCCCATCCGCTAGTTCACACCCCAGTTGTTCGCCCAGGACTGAAGTCAGGAGCCGGGACCTCACCCAGCTGTCCTACGTGGGTGACAGACCCGACTACTTCATGCGTCAGCTGCTGCTTCGCAGGTGCTGTGTTAGCAAGAAGCTGGAATTGGGGGTTGGAGCTGGGAATGGAACCCGGGGATTAGGACGCGGGAGGCTGACCCCCAGGTGCCCGCCTCGGACCCTGTCACGCTAACCTAACAGCTGCACTGGCCTGTTTGCTGACTTCTCCACTTCACAGATGTAACATCCCCCGTTTTAGATCAGTATCCCGCTTTCTGTAAAAGGAAGGATCATTGCAGAGACCATCGAAGGGATGTGCTACCTGCACGGAGAAGGTGTGATTCACAAGGACCTGAAGCCCGAGAACATCCTCGTCGATAACGACTTCCACATTAAGGTAGCCAGAGCCTGCAGGCTTCTAGGAGGTCCAGGAGTCTGAGCCTCAGTCCCTGCCCTGAACCCGTTCCTGTAAATGGCAGATACAGGAAGACTAGCCTGCGTGCACGTGGTGGTGGTGGTGGCGGGGCCAAAAGGCTCCGCTGCGGGTTGAAAGGAAAGACAGGGTTGATGGGCTTGGGCGGTAACTGAGAGTGGAACCGGCGTCTTCGGAGAGAAGTGGAATTGGATGGGATGGGGAGGAACCACTTTGCTGGCTTTTGCTCTCCTGCTCTGTCAGACTCTAGATGGAAACATGTCAGGCTTGCCTTGCTGACCCTAGAGTGGGCCATTTTCCCCATCATTCCCCCGGGAAATCTGTGTGGCTAGGACTCTTCTCTGGAAGTACAGGGGTGTGAAGGCATGCTTGGAAAATCTCCAGCATTCAGATCTGGCCTAGAGTCAGGTCAGTAGCAAGTTGGGCGTTTTGGCATCAAGAAACATCTGCTTTGAAATTTAGCTGATTTATAGTTTCTGTTTAATGCCATCTGCGCTTTGAAAAAATCAGTATCCGTTTACAAACTCTTTTCCCATTGTGGTAGAGCAGACAAGCGAAAGGAACTGTACCTTTGGCCACTGAAGGCTTTGGAATCCCAGCGCAGGAGTCGAGGGACGTGGCCCTCGGGAGGAACTCGGGACCTGTGCCTGCCGGTCCCCCTCTCCGTCAGAAGATGCTGCCTCTAACGCTTCGCTCTAGCTTGGACACATTTTTATTCCTGTTTCTTTCATGATAGCTCTTTAGTAGCGTATTTCTCACAGTTCTGGGTTCACATCTCTGAATTTTAGTTTTCATAGTTCTTAAATGGATTTGAAAGGCAGACCTTTCCCATCTTCTGGTTCACTCCAGATGCCCTCAACAGCCGGGGCTGGGCCAGTCCAGAGCCCGGAGCCGGGAGCCCAAGCCAGGTTTCCCATTGGTGGCGGGGACCCAGGCGCTTGAGCCGTTACTTGCTTTCTCCCAGGACGCATTAGCAGGAAGCTGGAATGGAAAGCGGAGCTGGGACTCGAACCCAGACACTGGTACAGGATGCTGGCACCCCAGGTGGCGTCTTCATTGCTGCACCACAGCCTTCCCTCAAAAATGTGTGACTTTTATTGACTACTTATTATTTATTTATTTATTTATTTATTTTTGACAGGCAGAGTGGACAGTGAGAGAGAGAGACAGAGAGAAAGGTCTACCTTTGCCATTGGTTCACCCTCCAATGGCCGCCACGGCCGACGCACCGCGCTGATCCGATGGCAGGAGCCAGGAGCCAGGTGCTTCTCCTGGTCTCCCATGGGGTGCAGGGCCCAAGCACTTGGGTCATCCTCCACTGCACTCCCGGGCCACAGCAGAGAGCTGGCCTGGAGGAGGGGCAACCGGGACAGAATCCGGCGCCCCAACCGGGACTAGAACCCGGTATGCCGGCGCCGCAAGGGGGAGGATTAGCCTGGTGAGCCGCGGCGCCGGCTAACTTACTTATTTTTAAGATTTATTTATTTATTAATTTGAAAGGCAGAGTTCCAGAGAGAGAATGACCCCCTCGCCAAATGGCCACAATGGCCAGGGCTGGGCCAGACGGAAGCCAGGAGCCTGGAGCTGCATGCAGGTCTCCCCCTGGGTGGCAGGAACCCGGGTGCTGGGGCATCTTCCAGTGTTTCCCGTGCACTAGCAGGGAGCTGGATTGGAAGCAGAGCAGCTAGGACTTGGACCAGCACACACAGGGATGCTAGTGGCAGCGGCTGAACCCACAGCACCGGTGCCGGCCCCAGTATGTGCCTTTGAGGCCGTCACGTGGGTTCCCAGAGGCAGAAGTGGAACTGTGCCCTCGCTGTGCTGCTCTGTCCCGCTGCCCTGCCGCCTCCCTCTCTGCTCCGTGTCTGACCTTGTGTTTTTCTCTCTGCCTTTCCATCTGTTTTCTCCTCCTCCCCTTCCCGGCTTAGGTTCAGGCCACCAGCTCAAAGCCGGCAGCACCACAGTGTGTCCTTGGGATCCTTGGAAACTCGCATCCCTGGGCCTCTGGACGCCCTGTGGGGAAGTAGAAGGTGTGGTATCCGGTTACCATCTGCAGAGGAGAACTTACCGTCTCCCCTCCCCCAGCGTCCGCCGCAGGCAGAGTCCAGAGCAGATGCAGAGCCCGCACGGAGTTAGAACAAGTGTGTCCGGGGCAGCTTCTGCTTTCTGCCTCCCTTTGTTGCGTAAGACCTGACATACCAGAACTTCACATGAGTACTTATTTTTTTGTTGTTAAGATTTATTTGTTTCATTTGAAAGGTAGAGTTATGGAGAGGAAGACACACACACACACAGTGCTTCCATCCACTGCTTCATTCCCCAGATGGCCAAGACAGCCCAGGCTGGGCCAGGCGCAGGCCAAGAGCCAGGAGTTTCATCTGAGTCTCCCATGTGGGTGGCAGGGACCCAGGCACTTGGCTCATCTGCCGCTCCCTCCCCAGGCACCTTCACAGGGAGCTGGAGCAGCAGAGACTCAACCCAGTGCTCGTGGGGGATCCGGCATTGCGGGCAGCAGCTTAACTCACATGAGCATCTCCTTTTTTTTTTTTTTTTTTTTTTTTTTTTGAAGGCAGAGTTGGACAGTGAGAGAGAGACAGAGAGAAAGGTTTTCCCTCCATTGGTTCACCCCCAAGTGGCCGCTATGGCCAGCGCGCTGCACCGATCCAAAGCCAGGAGCCAGGTGCTTCCTCCTGGTCTCCCATGGGGTGCGGGGCCCAAGCACTTGGGCCATCCTCCACTGCCATCCCGGGTCACAGCAGAGAGCTGGACTGGAAGAGGAGCAACCGGGACAGAGCCAGCGCCCCAACCAGGACTAGAACCCGGGGTGCCGGCGCCGCAGGCTGAGGATTAGCCTAGTGAGCCGCAGTGCTGGCCCCATGAGTATTTCCTGAGGGAGATTTCCCACGTGGCTGAGGGAACATAAAGTTTGTCCTTGAGTCTGTTCAGAAGTAGCTGTTTTAAACCTGCCCGGTGCACCCATCAACCCTGATTGACGTGTGGCCTTCCCAGAATAATCCCTGGGTCTGACCTCACTCGCAGATCGCCGACCTTGGCGTTGCTTCCTTTAAGACGTGGAGCAAACTGACTAAAGAGGAACACAACGAGCAGAGGAAAGTGAACAGCACCCGCAAGAAAACTGGCGGCACCCTGTGCTACATGGCCCCCGAGCACCTGAATGACGTCAACGCGAAGCCCACAGAGAAGTCGGACGTGTACAGCTTTGCCATCGTACTCTGGGCAGTCCTTGCCAATAAGGAGCCGTACGAAAGTAAGAAGCTTGTGCAGGGGCACTTGTCGTTAGGAATCGAAACTGAAATCCACCAGGAGTTCTGTTGAGTGGCAGCTCGATCCGTGAGACTGTAGGTTCCCTGAGGGTAGGGCCTCGCCTGAGCCGTGCACGGCTGTTTCCTCAGCGTCTTCACGCACGGTGCCTGGGACCTACCAAGTGCCCTGTACGTGTTTGTGGATTGGATGAGTCACTCCGCTGTGGGTTACCACGACAGGTCGTAGGACAAACAGGAGCCTCGCGCATGCACCGAGCTTGGGAGGTGCCGGACAATTCCAGGGTCTTCCTGGTGGCAAAGCCTGGCTTGTTAGCGCTTATGAGAACTTGGCTTGCTTGCTTTTTTTTTTTTTTTTTTTTTTTTTTGACAGGCAGAGTGGACAGTGAGAGAGAGAGAGAAAGGGCTTCCTTTTCTGTTGGTTCACCCCCCGAAGTGGCCACCACGGCCTGCACACCGCGCTGATCCGAAGCCAGGAGCCAGGTGCTTATCCTGGTCTCCCATGGGGTGCAGGGTCCAAGCACTTGGGCCATCCTCCACTGCACTCCCGGGCCACAGCAGAGAGCTGGTCTGGAAGAGGAGCAACCGGGACAGACTCTGGCGCCCCGACCAGGACTAGAACCTGGTGTGCCAGTGCCGCAGGTGGAGGATTAGCCCAGTGAGCCGCGGTGCCGGCCCGAGAACTTGGCTTTCACACAGAGAACGCTTCGTGCTTTCACTTGCTCCTGCACTGGAGAATTTTTTTCCAGGACCCACGAGGGCAACGTTGGGAACATAAGGATAAGTCCTGGTTTGTACAGGCGGAGAGTGCACAGGTAGCCGTCCTTGCATCTGCGAAGTGTGTAAACAATGGACGCCTCCCTGCACACCCTTCTCGGGAGGGTCATGTCCTGTGGTTCAGGTGTCATCTCTTCCACCAGTTCCTCTGACTGTCTGGCCCTGGCCTGGTTCCCCACTCACCTGTTAGAGCTACCGCAGGTAGCAGAGGAACCCCGAAGCAGCTCTCCTCCGACAGATGCATTTACAATGCCGTCCTTGCACCCGCGCAGCTGCGTTCGTCTGTAGTAAGCACGCCGCCATCTGTCTGCTGCCGCTTGTCCCCACATGTCGCTCCCCCTCTTTGTGGAGGAACGACACTAAGCCCTGCCTAGGCTTCATATCCGAGTCACGGCACCATTATGTCGCTCCCCGTCTTCGTGGAGGAACGACACAGGACCCTGCGCTGTTCTTTCGTCTGCTCGGCCCTCCCCGGGTTTGCTGCTGGTTCTTCCCGGGTTGGCTGCCAACCCTTCCACCTCCGTGGAAGGGCGGTTCCCCCTGCCACTTTCCCCACTTCCGCGGGGGAGCGGCACACCGCCGGCCGGCTCTCTCGGGGGCTGCACAGGTGTTCCTTCAGATAGATGTTCCCCTTAGATATTCCTGGTGCATGTTGTCTCTCTCCTCCTTTATAGTCCTCCTCCGCCAATCCATGCTCGGCTGCCCACACGCCGAGTACGCTGCTCTCCTCCAATCAGGAGCAGGTCCTGCTGTTTATTGGTTGAACTGGAGGCAGCTGTGTAGAAGCTGTTTTCTCCTCTCCCAGCGCCATATTGTGGGAGAGCAGATGCATAGAATAAGTCTTAATTCCAGTAACTCAGTCCAGTCCGGGTTGCTCCCCACACCACATCCCTCCAGGCCTCAAGGCACGACTGCAGCTCTCTCGTGCCAGCACTTCTCTGACCCCACGGCCTCTGTTCAGCTCCAACCCTCCTTCTTTCTGCTACACTTTCCTGGTGTAGTCGGCCATCGTGTGGCAGCCAACCACGATAGTTCTCCCAGACAGCAAATGCGACCGCTTAACTGCCCTGCTTTAAAGACCTGCTGAGCCTCTGCAGGCCTTCGGGGTTGGGTTCAAGTTCCTCGGTGCGGACCACAAGCCCTTTAGGATCTGGCCTCTGCCTTGTCCCGTACCCTCTCGCCCCGTTGTCAGTCATCACTCTGGTGGAGGAACCTCTGAAGTGCATCCTGACTTCAACCCCCCATCCTCTCCTGTCTTGTTTCCCTGGCCTGGAAGCCTCCTCCCCGTACCCCCCCATCCTCTCCTGTCTTGTTTCCCTGGCCTGGAGGCCTCCTCCCCATATCCCCCTGCCCCCTTCTCTACTGGATGCCTCCTGCTTATTTTTCTGGACCCAAGAACGCCTTCTCAGCCTTCCATTCTAGTCATGGTTGCATTACCAGACCCAAAAGGCCCCGTCACTCTGGGTTTTAAGTCACTCGTTGATCAGCCCCGTAGAGGCCAGGCCTGTGCCACATTTGCCTTTGACTTACAGGCTGGAGAACGCCAGTGGCTTCGCCTGCGTGATCGCGTTGTTCTGCCAGCAGGCAGCTTTGCTGCGAATTCTGTCTTTGTTTGCGGGACTAAGATGTAGTTCGATCATCCCCTGATGAACGGTGGCAGCTCTTTGTCACAGCCGTTCCGGTCCTCTGGAATGAGGCACGCACACCACACGCACCCTAGGCAGCGAGACGTCAGCAGTGTTGTCCCCCCGTGTCCCCCTGCCCCTTCCCTGCCTGCGAGAGGGGCACCACCTGAAAGCGTCTCTCCCTTCCAGATGCCATCTGTGAGCAGCAGCTGATTCTCTGCATAAAGTCCGGCAACCGGCCCGACGTGGACGACGTCGCCGAGGACTGCCCCGGGGAGCTCATCCGCCTCATGGAGCTCTGCTGGGAGGCGGACCCGAGAGCGCGGCCCACGTTCCCTGGTGAGCACGGCCTTGGGGCTGTGGGGTGCATCCGCATCCCTGTGTGATGGCTCCCCAGGAGGACCTGGGAGACCGGGTCTGGGTCTTCAGGAAACCAAGTTCCACTTAGTTCTCGTGTCCTGCTGATTGCCTCAGTCTCAGACACGGAGCTCTGAAAACATGGCGTTTCTCTCAGAAGCATGAGGGCGTAGAAGGCCTGTTGCACGCTCTCTCTCTCTCTTCTTTTTATAATTAACTATTTTTTATTGTGTTAACATGTATATATTACAAAATGTACTGTCTTAACCATTTTAACTACGTGTGGATACTTCAAAAATTTCCTGGGAAATGGAATTTAAAATTCAGTCAGGGGTGAGCATTAGCCTAGTGGTTAAGACACTCATATTGATAACTTGGGTTCAATATCCGCTCTGGCTTCTACTCCAGCTCCCTGCTCATGCAGACCCTGGGAGGTGGTGGTGGTGGCTGTAGTGATTGGGCCCCTGCCACCCTTATGAGAGACCGGGAGTAGGTTCCTGGCCCAGCCCTGGATTTGCAGGCATCTGGGGAGGGAACCAGCAGATGGCAGCTCCTCTATTTCTCTCTCTCCATCTCTGCCTCTCAAATAGACTTTTTTTTAAGATAAGTTTATTTTGGTGCAAAAAACTTTTTAAAAAATTTATTCATACACATCTGAGAGGCACAGTTACAGAGACAGGGAGAGACAAAGAGAGAAAAATGTTCCATCTGCTGGTTTACTCCCATATGACCACATGGTCAGGGCTGAGCCAGGTGGAAGCCAGGAGCTTGGAACTCCATCAGGGTCTCGCACCTAGGGGGGCCCAGGCACTTGGGCCATCTTTCACTGCTTTCCCAGGCACGTTAGCAGACGGCTGGTTTGGCAGTGGAGCAGCCAGGACTTGAACCCGTGCCAGTATGGGTTGCTGGCATCACAGGACGCAGCTTAACCTGCTGTGCCACAGCACTGCCCCTCCCCCCCCCAAATTTTGCAATCTCTGCGTACTTTTTTCATAATATGCGTTTTCCATAAGCCTTCTGAAGACTGCTTGTACAGTTCAGTGGCGTTAAGTACAGTGGCACTGTTGGTGAAGCCGTCACCACTGGCCAACTCCATAGCTTTCTCATCTTCCCAAACCAGAACTCTACCCATTAAACACTCACTCCCCCCAGTCACCTCTGTTTTACTTTCTGTCCTCGATTACGCTACCCATCTAAGTGGGGCCATATTGTATTTGTCTTTCGTACCTGGCTTATTTCACGTAGCATAACGTACCCTGTGTCCGAATTTCATTTCTTTTTATGGCTGAGCAGTATTCCGTGTGGGTGTGGACCACGTGGTGTGTTCTGTTCGTCAGTCCTGGTTGCTTCAGCTGGTCTTCTGCTTCCTGGCTGTTTTGACTTCTTTCCCCTCCTGTTAGCTGGATATGCAGGTGAGTGTTCCATCCTGCAGGTTGGCCTAGGTTGCTGTGAGCCGGGTGAGGAGAAGCGTGTGGTCGGAGGCACGCGGCAGCCTGCAGAGCGCTTTGCCATCCTGTGTCTGCTGTGAGAGCCCTGGGCCCCAGTCCCATCGCGGGGTCTCAGGGCGCTCTGGCCGAGCTGTCCATTCGGGTGCCAGTCAGCCTTCCTGCTTGCCTGGCTTGGTGTCTTCCCTTCTCAGTCCTTCTTCACCTGCTGAGATCAAAGTTCCTGTTGGGGGTGGGGAGCCTCTGTTGCGCAGATTAAGACACTGCGTTGAGACGACTGCATCGCATCCCACACAAGGATGCCTGGTTCCCGTCCTAGCGGCTCTGCTTCTGGTCCAGCCCCTCTGCTGCACACCCTGGGAAGCAGACAATGGCGCAAGTCCTTGGGTCCCTGCCGACCACGGGGAGACCTGGGCTGAGTCCCGGGGTGCTGGCTTCCACCAGGCCTCGCCCTGGCTGCTGTAGGCGTTTGGAGATCATGACCCAACAGGTTCTCTCTGCCTGTCAACTAAAAGGAGGGAAAAGTGTTCTTCTTTAGAGATGACTCTGCATTCATATGCAGTTACAAGAAATAACACAAAGCTACTCCTCTAAAGGAGATCCCCTACCAGACCGCAGTCCCGCGTCACCGCAGGGCGTTGGCACCGGCAGTCAGCTGCGGCACAGCTCCCTGACCAGGACGACCCCTCGGGTTGCTTTTTGTAGCCGTGCACATTGCCTCCATGCCCTCACCTCCTTTCCTCCATCAGCCACCAATTTATTCTCCACCTTTATAATTTTTTCATTTCAAGAATGTTATATAAATGGAGCCCCCCTGCATGTCCCCTTTTGGGGTTGGCTGTTTTCCACCGAGCGTAATTGTCTGCAGGGTCCTCCACGTTGTCACATGCATCAAGATTTCACCCTCTAATTGCTGAGTGTATTCCGTGGTGTGGCTGTACCTCAGTTTACCTGTACCCCCCCCCCCCCCGGAAGACTTGTTTCCAGTTCTTGCTACTGGAGCTAAAACTACTGTAAATATACATGTCTGTGTTTTTATGTGAAAATGTCTTCAAATCTCTGGAGTAAATACCCAGGGGTGAAACAAGCAGCTAACTCATGTGGTGGTTCCAGGTCTCTGGTTTTTGTTTTTTTTTTTTTTTAAAACTGCCAATCCATTATCCAGAGTGGCTGTATCTTTTCTTTTTTTAAGATTTTATTTATTAACTTGAGAGGTACAGTTATAGCAGTGAGAGGGACAGACAGAAAGGTCTTCCATCTGCTGGTTTACTCTCCAAATGCCCTCAACAGCCAGAACTGTGCTGATCGAAAGCCAGGAGCCAGGATCCTCTTCTGGGTCTCCCACGTGGGTGCGGGGGCCCAAGGACCTGGGCCATCTTCTACTGCTTTCCCAGGCCATGGCAGAGAGTTGGATCTGAACAGGAGCATCTGGGACTAGAACTGGCACCCATATGGGATGCTGGCGCTCCAGGCAGAGGATTAACCTAGTGCACCACAGGGCTGGTCCTTGGCGGCGCCACTTTATATTCCCACCAGCAGTGCGTGAGTGATCCAGTTCCTCTGCATCCTTGTCAGCTTCTGGTGTTGCCACTGTTTTTCAGTAGCAACTTCAGATAGATGGGGGGTGGTAGAGAAATAGAGTTGGTAAACAATTATAAGTAGTATTGTATGTTTAATTTAGGTGCCCGTGTGTTCATTGCTAGTATTTAGAAATAAAGTTGATTTTGCCACGTTAATCTTGCTGAACTCTCATTTTAGTTCTAGGAGGGATTTGTTTCTGCCATTTTTAAGGGGATTTTCATGTCATCTCCAAATAGGGGCAGTAGGCTAATGTTGGTGCTTGTGGATGTATCCTGGAGATTGGATACAGTAGAAGTGAAGACTGCAATGACTTTATCTGTGGTAATTGTGTGAATTTTAAAATTTTACTTATTTGAAAGACAGAGTTACAGAGAGAAAGAGAGAGAGATCTCCCTTCACTGGTTTACTCTCCAAATGACCACAGCAGCCAAGGCTGGACAAGACCGAAGCCAGGATCTAGGAGTTTCTTCTGGGTCTCCCACAAGAATGCAGGGGCCCAGGGACTTGGGCCATCTTCTACTGCTTTCCCAGGCCACAGCAGGGAGCTGGATGAGAAATAGAACAGCTGGGACTCGAACTGTTGTCCATACGGGCTGCTGGCGCTGCAGGCAGTAGCTTTACCCACTATGCCATATGCTGCTGGCCCCGACTGTGTGAATTTTTTTTAAGATTTATTTATGTATTTGAAAAGCAAAATGAGAGAGAGAGAGAGAGAGAGAGAGAGAGAGAGATAGATGTTGATCTTCCAATTGCTGGTTCATTCCCCAAGTGGCTGCAATAGTGGACCTGGCTGAGGCCAGGCGCCAGGAGCTTCTTCTGAGTCTCCCACATGTGCAGGGGTCCAAGCACTTGGACCATCTTTTGCTGCTTTCCCAGGTGTGTTAGCAAGCAGCAGGATCAGAATTAGAGCAGCCAGGACTTGAACTGTCATCCATATGGGATGCTGGCCTCGAAGGCAGTGACTTTACCTGCTATGCCACAATGCCAGTCCTGACTGTGTGATTATCACAACCAGATAATACAAGAAGAAAACTTACATGCCACAATCCTCATGAATATATAATATAGTTTTTCTTTCTTTTTTTTTAAAGATGTATCTATTTATTTGAAAGGCATAATTAACAGAGAGGTAGAGGCAGAGAGAGCCTCCGTCTGCTGGTTCAGTCCCCAAATAGCTGCAATAGCTGGATGGAGTTGGGCCCATCTGATGTCGGGATCCAGGATCTTCCGGGTCTCCCACGCGGGTGCAGGGGCCCAAGCACTTGAACCATCTTCCACTGCTTTCCCAGGTCATAGCAGAGAGCTGGATTGGAAGTGGAGCAGCCGGGTCTTGAACTGGCGCCCGTATGGGATGGTGGCGCCGCAGGCGGCAGCTTTATCCACCATGCCACAGCCACAGTCCCAGCCCCAGTAACTCTTAATAAATACTGGCAAATACTTATTTCTTCCTTTGTGGTGTATATTTATGTCTTCCTTCACGTCGGGGTCCACCGCGTGGCCTGAATTCTGCTGAAGGCATGCTTTGCCAGGTTGTGTCAGCAGCGGCCAAGGTCATTTGACATGATGCGGAAGCAGCTAAGGAAGTGCTGTGGGCTCCGTGAACTGCAAGTGGGACGCTCACCCCAGTTGGTAACCCGTCCCCCTCAGGCCCCCCACCTGTGGCTGTTCTCTAAAGCCCAGCTCCCATGTAAACAACACACTCCCCATTGTTCCTTGTTCCACTGTGCTTAAACTCCCTCATCAGGAAATCCTGTGTTCACAAAACTGGACGTTTTTATGATTAATGAATCACGTCACTGTTGATAACAGGTATTTGGAGTAGCCAGACATCTGGGTCTCTGCCTCTGCCCCCGCCCGGCCGTGGACAGTGGCTCCCTGGTTGCCCAGGGGGAGACTCTTCAGTCTGAGTCCGCTTCCTCCTTCTATGCGACCTCGTCTCTCCCGGGTTAACCAACA